AAAATCAAGATAAGGAAAAAAAGCTGTTGCAATTTATCTCCATCCAGATGACCTACAGAAGACCTTGCAATTTGTAAATGTATTACTAGTTCTTCAGGCTGGAAGTTCCAGGGTTCACTGGGTCAATGACCTCCACCTACCTGAAAGCAATTAAGGACAAGACAAAAGCCAATGATTTTTCAGGAAAACAGCCGACTATCATTTAAAGCTAACTTTTAAGTTCAAGAGGCTATTTTCTCTTCTTTCTTTTTATTTTTAGTTTTGGGTTGTTTTGCTTCTGAGACAGTATTGATATGTAGCCCAGTTTGGCCTCAAATTTATAATCCTCCTACTTTGGCCTCCTCAATCCTGGGATTATAGGCAATTGCTGCCATAAATCACTACAGTTATTTATTAGGGATTCTCTCTTTCCATCCCCCTCTCTCAGTAGGCAAAGAATTTGGTTAGATAGAATACTGATTATGACAAGTTTTTATTTGTCTTAATTTTTCACTTGGAAAAATATTGCCTGTCAAAACTTTTCCTTTAAACTGTTTTAATTTTAATCTTTCTGAGTAGATCTGACAAATTATTTTCATGTTAAACCAAATGCCTCCATGTTCAACCTTCAACTCAAATGAAGTAAATTTAATGTAAACTTTCCAAATTGTTCAAGCTCCTCATTAACCCCCTGTTAAAACAAACCATCTGAATAACACACCATACATAAATGTGGGCTCCCCTCCACCTTTTTTTTTTAAAGGAAATGCTGAGAAAGCCCTATCACCGCGGTAATGCCAAGAAACAATGAGGCATGGTGCTAAATGAGGACTTGTCTGTATCTACCACATATGTGTTATCACCAAATACTAAGCTTCCTAGCAAGTTGCTGGAATAGACATAATCAACCATTGTGTCGAAGACAAACTTCCCCTTAGAGAAAAGAATTGAGGACAACTATGTTTGCTATTGCCACTTCAGGGCCAACCCATGAAACACAATTAGAAAATGGTAAAAATAGAACAGAATACAGACTTTTGTTTTGTAATTAATTAAAACAGTAGCCAGGCATTGTTGGCTCGCACTTGTAATACTAGTTACTCAGGAGGCTAAGATCTGAGGCTGAGATCTCAAGATCAAAGTTCAAAGCCAGCCCAGTCAGAAAAGTCCTCAAAACTCTTATCTCAAATTAACCAGAAAAAAAGCTAGAAGAGAAGGTGTGGCCCAAATGGTATAGCCCAGCCTTGAGTGAAAAAACACAAGCCCTAGAGTTCTGTACAGCACCAACAACCACCACAAAACCTGGTTGAAAGTAAGGCTCAAACAGCACAGTGCCTGCCCAGCAAGAGCAAAGCTCTGAGTTCAAACTCTAGTACTCTCTAAATAAATAAGTAAAACTTAATTAAGGTAAAATTTACACATAGTAAAGTTCATTCATTTTCAGCCTATAATTGTAGGTTTTTTTTTTTTAGTAATGTTACCAACTTTTACAGTGACCACACAGAGTTGTTTTAGAATATTTCTATTACCTTAATAAGATTTCTTTGTGTTCATTTATAATTTTGCTATGTTTACCTCCAAGTTGGAGTGATTTTTTTTAACATAGTTTCTCTTTGTTGTTGTTGTTGTTGGTGGTGGTGGTCATGGGGCTTGAACTCTGGGCCCAGGCGCTGTCCCTCAGCTCTTCAGCTCAAGGCTAGTGCTCCACCACTTTAGCTACAGTGCTACTTACAAAGTGATTTTTTTTAATTGAGAAAGACCCTACCACATCAGAATTTATTTTATTTATTTTTTTGTGGTGGTGGGACTTGAACCCTGGGCCTCTTCAACTCAAGATTAATGCTCTACCACTTGAGCCACAGCACCACTTCCAGTTTTGGCGGTTATTTTGGAAATAAGAATCTCATGATGCTCAGGCTGGCTTTGAACCATGATCCTCAGATCTCAGCAGCCTGAATAGCTAGGATTACAGGTGTGAGCCATCAGCACCCAGCCACATCAGAATTTTTAATGGAGCCCAAGGACTCTAGTTATGTTCTTTGAGTTACAATGACTGTGGCCTTCAGTTACAGATTACAATGACAAGAAATTTTGATAAAAGAATTCTATAGCAAACTCTGTCAACTGAGAAAGGATCTCCATCCTCAAAATCAAAAATCAAAAAACCATTGGGTGCAAATGGTTCACACCTGTAATTCCAGCTACTCAAGAGGCTGAGCTCTGAGGATCGTGGTTCAAAGCCAGCCTGGGCAAGAAAGTCCATGAGACTCTTATCTCCAATTAACCATCAGAAAACCAGAAGTGGAGCTGTAGCTCAAAGTGGTAGAGTTGCTAGCCTTGAGTAAAAAATCTTATGATAGTGCCCAGGCCCTAAGTTCAAGGCCCACGACCAACTGGAAAAAAAAAAAAAAGTCAAAAGACCAAAAAACTAACTTTCAAGAAAACAGGTAAGCTCCCAAGCATTCCTATAAAATTCAAATATTATTATTACCTTTTTGCTTTTCAGATGTAATGGATTTTTCCAGTTCCTTAAATAAGTTATATTTCTATGGAGTTAAAAGACAAAAATGTCTTCTAAAACATCAAAAAAACACCCTTTGATAGGTATATTATTCTAATATATTTTAGGTACAGTAAATATATCAAATTTTCATGTTTGGAAGTTGACAAAATAACCACTAACCACTTCTTTCCTTCCTCCATAATCTACATATTTTAAGAAAACTTGTTCCAGGTTTATCTTGCTTACATTTTTTGATTTCCAGGTATCCTCCCTTCAGCAAGGAACATTCTGGTTTCCCAGAAATCTCCTAAATATTTCACAAGGCACCCTTTTACATTTGAAAGAGAAAATTGTTTTGTCGAATGATGATGAGAAATTCCAAAAAGACTCTAACCCAGACAGGATTCTAAATTTGGGGAAATCTATGGCACTCAGTCAACTCCATTGCTCACCAAGATTCCTCAAGAGTTATTTTATACCACTTGCAGGAAATTGATATTTGCTGTGGGTTAAAAAAAATTCCTTACATCAATAACAACAAGTATTAGTTTTGTGTCTTAACTGTGTTGAGATTTTCTAGAACATAGGGTTCAACTTACCCCTATGGGTAATTGAAGGTAGGACTGTGGAGAAAATAAGTATCTTGCAGAAATAAGCATATTTTGCCAGTAGCTTTAATGTATTCTCAAAGCAAGTGGGAACTTTTGAACTGCTCATATAAGGAAAAATATGTGGATTTTTGAAAAGCTATTCTGAAAGTTCTTAATCTCGTTTTAAAAGCAATTGAGGTAGGGTTTGTTGGGGCGAGGAGGGCAAAGTGATGTTTGATGACTTGCTTAAATTCGCTTTCTTTTTTTGTGGGTCATAGGGCTTGAACTCTGCGCCTGGGCGCTGTCCCTGAACTCTTCAGCTCAAGACTAGATAGCGCTCTACCACCTGAGCTACAGTGCCACTTCTGGTTTTCTAGTGGTTTATTGGAGATAAGTCTCACAGACTTTCCTGCCCAGCCTGGTTTTGAACCGCGATCCTCAGATGTCAGCTTCCTGAGTAGCTGGGATTACAGGCATGAGCCACCAGCACCTGGCTAATCTTGGGAATCTTAAATAAGAATTTTGCACATTTTTTTTTTGGAACAAATAACGATGGAAACATTTCAACAAAATCTGGTGATGGAAGGGCCTGGGCAGGATGCGGACTTGTGTGATGGAAATTGCTGTGTGCCAAAGTAAAAAGCCAATGCATTTTAGAAAGGCAAGTCTGTGAAAACTCTCCCGACCCCACCCCTCTGGTGTTTAGTGATTCAAACAAAATCTCGGCTTTGTGTTTAAGTAGCACTGAACGTGGCAAAGACTTTAATTTTAAAAAGTTTTCCTCTTTCCAACGGTCGGTCGGACAGATTTCCCAATGGCAATGTGTATTCACTACTAATTTCCTGTCTAAAGAAAACGCGAGGAAGGAAGGAGGGAAGGAAGGAAGGAAGGAAGGAAGGAAGGAAGGAAGGAAGGAAGGAAAGAAGGAAGGAAGGAAGAAGGGAAGGAAGGAAAGGAGGAAGGAAGGAAAGGAAGGCAGCACAGACGCCCCTGAATTCTGAAACGTGGAAACTTGCTTTGTCTTTTCCAAAGAAAACTTTGCTCTCGGAGTCTCCCCCAGCAGGGCGCGCGCACTCGGGTGAGCGGTGAAGTCGGGAGGGGACCCCGGCCCTCCCCGCCGGCCCCTCCAGCCCCGGCAGGTACAGTGGAGAAGCCGAGACGCCGGCCCGGGACACCGTCGAGTCCCCGCGCCGGGGACCGGCCGGCCCCGCCCCGGGACTGCCCAGCCTGGAGCCAGGTAGCGGCTCCTAGGGGCTTTCCTCCTGCCAGCGAACATCCTGGGAGCGCCGGCGCCCTGTGCGCCCCCCCCGGGGCGGTGCAGAGTTCTCCAACCCCACCGGTGCCCCGATGCAAAAAAGAAAACGAGAAGCGGGGTGGGGGGGACCTGCACCCCCGGCTGCGGGCAGCCCCGGCCCTGCCCTCCCCTCCCAGCCTACCCCCAACGGCCGCTGCCAGGCCTCCCCCGCCCCCACTCCACAAACCCTCCCAGAAGTTGGACGACCGCAAAGGAAACCGGAAAAAAAAAGGAAAAAAAAGTTCCCGGCCCACTCCCGGCGGCCGGCGGCCTCGCTTTTGTTCGGGGCGAACCCACCGTCCCGTGACGTCACCCGGGGCCCCAGCCAATCAGCGCGCGGGCTGAGGCGGCAGCGGGCGCACCGGGCGGGGGAGAGGGGTCGCGGGGAGGGGGGGCCGGGCCTTCCTCCTCCCCCCCTCCCCGCGCCCGGGGCCCCCGAGGGCGGCGGAGGGGGGTGGGGCGGGAGGGGACCGTCCCATATAAACCCCGCAGCTTTCGAGACTCCCTCGCCCGCAACAGCTGCGCTGCACCCGGGGGAGGAGGAGAGGGAGTCCCGGGCTGGCGCGGAAGGAGAGCCCTGCAGCCTCGACTTCCCCGGTCCGCCCTCCCCGTCCCCCTCAGCCCCTCTCCCCGGGCGTCAGCCCACCCGGAGGCCCCGGGAGAGACTTTGCACCGAGGTCTCCGTAGGTGCAACTTGGTGACTCGTGAATCCCCGGGGTTCGAGGCGGCTGTCCCTCCACCCTCGCGATCCACGATGCCCAGGGGTCCGGGACCCCGGCTGCCGCCGCCGCCGCTGCTGCTGCTGGCCGCGGCCCTGTGCCTGGGCACCGTGGTGCCCGCCGTCGGAGCCTCGAGGAGCAAGCGGCAGGCTCAGCAGATCGTGCAGCCCCAGTCCCCGGTGCCCGTCAGTCAAAGCAAGCGTGAGTACCGGCCGAGGGCTGGGAGCGGCGGGGACCGGGCTGGGTCAGAAGTAAAGTTGTGGCTGAAGTTTTGCGTGCGTGTGCGCGCGCCCGTCCGTGTGCGCGTGTGCGCGCGTGCACGTCTCCGCGAGAGAAGCCAGCTGTGGGACACAAAAGGGTCCTGGTGTGAATGGGCTGGCTTTGAGGGCTTAGCCGAGAGGAGATGGGGGGGGGGGGATCTGCCGTGTCCCCTGGTGTCCTGATGAATCCTGCGTGATCAAAGCATCTTTGTTCTAAAATATGAATTAATCAAAATGTGCATTTAAAGGAAAAAATGATGTATGCCTATACATGCTCTTCTGTGGTTCTCATTGCGCCTCATTTCTTTGTTATTAAGTGATTGGCTAGGTGGGGATGGGGAGAGAGGGTACTTGAGTAGTTTGGTCGTTTGTAACAAACTTGCCCGAGGTGTAATTGGCTTAGATTGCTCTGAGAATTCCTCTGGAATTTTCTTCACCAAGAATTGAGATTGGAATTCCTCTTCCAATTTTTCAAAGACACACCCTCCCTTTCTTTCCCTGGGCTCAAGGAAACCTTAAAGTTACCCTTCTTGATTTATTTTTCCAAGATATTGAAGTTCCTTACATGGTTAAAATGTAATTTCAATTATCTGCCTTCCAAAGTGTTTCCACCGCTTTGATGTAGACCCCTGGCCAGATGGAAATGACATCATTTGTATAATGTTTAGTGAAGTTAAAAAAAAAACCAACATAAATATCCACTTATCCAAATTGTGTTTACCTCTTTAGATAACTTGCTTAGTTTCCATGTCTATCATTTAGTAGAATGCTGCTTTTTATTTTTTGTGATTAACTTAATTTTTTTTCTGAATTTGGTGCTCAGGCTCATCAATTCAGTTCTGTGAGAAAATTCCTTAATTTGGAAAAAGGAGGGATGGCAATGTAATAACATTTTTCCTTTGGTTATTTACAGCTGGTTGTTATGACAACGGGAAACACTATCAGATAAACCAACAGTGGGAACGGACCTACTTGGGCAATGCTTTGGTTTGTACATGTTATGGAGGGAGCCGAGGCTTTAACTGCGAGAGTAAACCTGAAAGTAAGTGGAGAGAATCCGTCATTGGTCCTTAGTTTTTTTTTTTTTTTTTTTAAACAGATGAAGGGCTGCATGTTCTTCAGTTTGCTTATGAACGTAATCAGACACCATAATCCTAGCTACTCAGGAGGCTAAGAACTGAGGATCTCAATTTGAAGCCAGCTCAGGCATAAAAGTCCACGAGGCCCTTAATTCCAGTTAATCAGCAAAAAGCCAGTAGTGGAGGTGTGACTCAAGTGCTACCACTCCAGCCTTGACTGGAAAAAGCCAACCAAGAGTGGAAAGTACTAAGTTCAAGCTGCAGTATGGGTACACACACACACACACACACACACACACACACACACACACACACAGAGTTGATTGGAAAGTCATCCTAAGATTTTTCACTATTTTATAAGCCAAAAAACACTTTGGGGCATTATATTGTAAAGTGGTTTGTCAACTGCAGTCCAGTGAAAAAAACCACTAACCACTTAACATACCTTGAAGACCTCAAGCAGTTCCTTCAGAAAAGTCATAGCTGAGGCTCCAAGAGAGATATTAGTAGAACTGACAAGGTCCAGTGCCGGCTGGGAGGTGACCATCTTCAAACTATTTCTTTTCTCTGTAGACTTTGGTTTTATTTCCCAAGTCACAGTTTGGATCTGAAATTCTTCCTTTTGAAATTGAACGGGTCATAGTACTTTGTGTGTGCATTTCCTGAGCATACTTAACAACAGAAATTTTCAGGAAATTTGAGGACTTGTCAGAGGTCAAAATGTAACCAGACCTAAGATGAAATCTATAACTCTTAACTTCAATTTTAAATTCCTGTTGAAAATGCCATGCTACTTATAACAATGGAAAAGTGAGTTTCCCCCGCCCCCAGGATGGATTAGTGTTTGCTTTTAGTTATGTGAGGTTCACGCAGTCCTTTCCTCCCCTCAGCTGAAGAAACTTGCTTTGACAAGTACACTGGGAACACTTACCGCGTGGGTGACACTTATGAGCGCCCTAAAGATTCCATGATCTGGGATTGTACCTGCATCGGAGCTGGACGAGGGAGGATCAGCTGCACCATTGCAAGTAAGGATGACACGCAAAATGATGATTCTTCACCGCTATCACTGTCTTCTAACATTCAGATTTACTCTCATTGGAGTGATGACCAGGTTTTCATACATGGGCACCCTACTGGTTCCCATGGTTCTGGAGATTGGGTCTTGAGGACTTGAAGAATCAGTGTTTGACATCTGTGGATTTATGAATGCATGTGCGAGTGTGTAAGACTGTGTGTGTATGTATGTGTAGAGTATAACTAAGTAAGTCTCATGGGCTCTGTTTCAGGAAGAAGTACTTACATGAGTCACCTATCCTAAATTATCTGTTAACATCTTTTAGCCAGACTGGTTATGAGATTTTCTGCAACAATGGGAGGGACGTTCCTTAAGATAGAACCCACCATGTTTCTGCTCTTTCTGCTTGCAATGCAGAGACCTCTTGCTTGTCACAAACCACTCTGGTTCCACCCGGGAAGCAAATCTTTTCTGTTCTGGGGGGTAATATTAAATGATTAACCCAGTAGTATTTTCAAGTAAGTTTAGACTGGGCTGACTTTCATCAACTCTGGCACTGCTAAGATAATCTTTTTTGGACAAGGGTTGTTCATACTTTCTATTAATATAGATAGCACTTTAAAATCGGCTGTTTAAATATAAGTAATCTTAAAAACACTGTCTATAAGGACAAGCCAGTCCTTTACGAATAAATACTATCAGTATTCTCTACAGTTAAGTGTTATGATCTATCTGGTTTTCCTGGCACATCAGGAGTTAATGGCTCAAGCCAGGAGTAGTAGTATGCACTTGTAACACCAGCACTCAGAGGGCTGAGGGGGGAGGATCTTAAACTAAAGGCCATGTCAAGACTGCCTGAAAACAATACGGGAACAAAAGAAAGGTCCATAGTGTTTATAATCTAGTACAATGTAGTGGAGAGTTCAGCCTAGATGTGCCATTGGGTTTAACAGCCTAGAAAAGTCTCAAGACTTTCATGTGTGTGTCTGCTTGTCTTCCATTAAAATGACATTTGTATTCTATGGTAAAAAGCAGGCTCTCCCTATTCTGCGAAGTGGAATGCTGTGTGCCTGTCTCAGACTTTCTGGTGAAGTAGTGTTAGATTTTACCTACTGTGCATGGGTGGATATCACTCCCCCATCAGCCTTTCCTTTTTGCTTTAGAACCCAATCTCCTGTGATCTCATTGGGGAACTGGGATTTATAACCTCTTCTTTGTAATTCATGTCTCTGTAGTTTTCTCATTGTGCTTTAAGCAAGGTACCTAATTGAATTAAAGTGATCACATCTGTTCATTTTCTTTTTCTGTCTGCAATAGGAAAGCTATTCTTTGTGTTTCATTTTGACCAACCTATCCTGGAACGTGAGGCTTTTTCTTTTTTTCCTACTTGATTCTCTATCCCATTTTCTCCTAATATTTATTTGCCTTTTATCCTAAATAGATCGCTGCCATGAAGGGGGCCAGTCCTACAAGATTGGTGACACCTGGAGGAGACCACATGAGACCGGTGGTTACATGTTAGAGTGTGTGTGTCTTGGTAATGGGAAAGGAGAATGGACCTGCAAGCCTATAGGTGGGTGGCCCCTTCTGGATGAATGGGGGTGGGAACAGGCATGCATTGCTCTAATGTTAGGTTGAATGAAAGTCACGTCTACTTGGAGAAGAGATGTGAATTCCCATTTAAAAATAGTGAAATGGGAATTTTATACCAAGTGATGTGATATTGTATGATCTGCAGTATTCTTGAAGAAATCCGGTCACAAAATACTGACTGCGTATGGCAGCTTTAATTTTTGGTTTCAAAAGCACAAGAGTTGACACATTTAGGAAGAAGACATTTCTTTTGTTTATAGCTGATTGCAGATTTCTTCTTTGGTCGAGCTATAAGTTGTCTGAAAGGAAAAAAAAAAGGATACTTTGGACACATCTCTTTCTTAGAATATGTTAGACTGGAATCCAAAATGACATGTGCCCTGTCTACACCTTGGTAATAACTTTTCAGAATAAAAACTCCTAGATTCTTTTAGTCTTGGTCCTCATTTGATTTGTGTAATTATAAACCCAAAACTTTTTGTCTCTTTGTTTTCTGATTCAGAGTTTTTTTCTTTTTTCTTTCTCTTCCTCTTCTTCTCTTCCTCCTCCTCTTTCTCCTCCTCCTTCTTCTTCTTTTTTGCTGGTACTGGGGCTTGAATTTGGCTTGGGCACTGTCCCTGAGCTTTCGTGCTCAAAGTTAGCATTCTACCAGTTGAGTGACATCTCCACTTCCTCCTGCTGCTGCTGCTGCTGCTGCTGCTGTTTCTTCTTCCTCCTCCTCCTCCTCCTCCTCCTCCTC